CATTAGTCGCAAGATCGGAAATTTTCGGGTTGCGACACACCCCATGCGGGTTTTCGTCCTAGCGGGTCCTCATTATGCAATGCCTTTATTCTTCAATTGGGTTTTGTCTTGTATTTCCCTATAAGCAAGGATTCATCCACTCTTGATCATTCCTCCTATCCTGGCAATTGACGTTTCTACATGGAGAAGTCTCGATGTTTGAATCATCAATTTGGGCATGTTATGCGCCCAAGTTACTGGTTTTAAGTTAAGTGTTTCCCGATTAGATGTGTCGGGTTCACACTTAATTACCAGTGATCTCATTATCCGGTTAACACGCACAAATTAGGTTTCCCTTTTTATTCTTATTTATTATTTACAAGGAAGGCATCTTATCTATATGAAGCGTAAAATAGGATGCAAAGACACTTGGGAAATTCAACAAATATCATTCTCATTGATTTTTGTTTAGAGAACATTCTTTGCATACTAATATATGAGCCTTCCGTCTCTAATGGATGCATGCTATTATACTATCCTAGGAGATGCATGATATTTTTTTCTACCTAAATTTTATCATGTTTTTTACTAAGGGTTATGATGCATGATTTTTTACTATATTTTTTTTAAATAAACTATCATATATGATGCTTTAGGGTTAGCATATACAGAAGGGTGTTAGTTTTTTATTAATATCTATTTATTTGTCTATGATTCCTTTCTATTTGACAAACAAATGCAACACGCATATGCTCAAACAAATGTACACCCGGGATAGTCACATTCAAATCCTTGGTTTATGGTCCCTGTAAGAAAAGTGCATTGTATAGGACGGTTCTAATCTCACTGGTTCTTAAGGCTCCCAAGGTGCCCCCATTATAGGGACCCATTACCTCTGTTGTCGTCACCTAGCAAACTCTAAGGTCTGTCGTAGTATTTCAGGTTAGAGTAACCGGTTATCACCTTGAGTTTGATTTTCGACAAGGCTCACAGGCTCCAAGGCCAAACTTGGGCCATTCGTACGTCAGCCACTCCCTATGTTTAGACATCCTTTTAAAAATCTCATTAATTAAGGAATGTCCGGATACCAGACTAATCTTTTATTAATGGGTTTCAAAAATAGGTTCATGGAGTCGCCACCAATGTTTTACTCAAAACATTGGGAAATGAAAAGGTTTTTAAAGATCCAATAATGGCCTTGATAACCAGAATTGGGTTCAGGGAGTATTAAGCACCCATGCAACGCCCTTAATTGGTACCCTTATGATGAAGTGAGCATAGTAAGAATTAATAATTTAAATATTTAATCCCCTTTATGAATTGCTATTTACATGCTTGAAATTTAAATTACACGGTTAATCCTAAAACGTCTACATGATTGCTCTTATTACAACAATATTTGAAATAAGGGGATAGAGAAAAAAAAAAGAATCGATTGAAATACCTCTTAAACAAGCTCTATTGAATCTTCAAATATGGAGATCTTTAGGTGCATTGTGGCAACCTTTCACACTAAAATATGTCTCACAAATCTCAAGAAATACAATAGGAAGGAGAGAAAGAGAATTTTCAGGCTCAAAGGAGTCTTATACGAAATTTCCTGGCCCTTGGAGCAGTGCCCGAGTTGTCTATTTATAGACGTCAAAACTAACCAGAACGGTTTGTTCCATATTCAAAACGGTCCATTCTGGCCTAGTCTTTTATGGGTAAAATAAGAATCTGGAACGGCCCGTTCCTAAAGTGGAACGTCCTATTCTGGGTTCAAATTTTACTCATAACAATTTGTTCTAGAACAGCTCGTTCCAAACTAGGGTTTTAGACCTTTTTGATGGTTTGGAATGACCTGTTCCCGTTTTAGAACAGGTCATTCCAGATTGAGAACAGCTCGTTCCAGTTTGGGAACGGGTCGTTCCTTTTTGGGAACAGCCCGTTCTGGGCTACTAAGTCACCCTTTGTTGGGCTTTCTGCCTTTTGATGTCATGTTATGTTGTTTCCATGCTTTGGCAGCTCCTTTCCTTGATAATAGAAGTCCATTTCCTTGTTTGTATGCCCCCGGACGAAATTGGGTGTCTATAAGAGTTAGCTTAGAATAGAATCTATTCAACCCCCCTTTTAGATTCTAGTACATTGGGACTAACAATTGGTATCAAGAGCTTAAAATTTGAAAGTTAGTCAAATTAGATCCACTATCTTCTAAGATGGCTTGTGATCAATTACCATTTGCTGAAGGTGCCTCTATAAGGATATGACAGGTTGTGGTCACTAAATACAAAATCCCTACTAAAA